GGGAATCCTGATGACAGCGGCGACAATGAGGATGAGGGTAGGACAGTGGTTACAGTGAAAACCTGCCACAAGGGTCAAAACAGAAAGTGGGACAAGCGTCATTACTGTGTATATTGCAAAAAACCACAAAGTAAAATGGTACGGCATCTGAAGCTCAAACACAGCAGTGAAACATAGGTGGCCCTAGCAATGTGTCTTCCATCAACATCAAAGAAGTGTCGCCAAACATTTGAGCAACTTCGTAGGAACCCTGCAGCACAAACATGATGGGAATCCTGATGACAGCGGCGACAATGAGGATGAGGGTAGGACAGTGGTTACAGTGAAAACCTGCCACAAGGGGCCAAACAGAAAGTGGGTCATCTCCAAGGTTCAGACTGTTTGAGGAACTATGCAGCTGCAAGTGGGGCAAGGCAGCCTGAAACACTCACGTCAACCTACCTGAGGAAACATGTGGCTACACTTAGTCAGATAATGAACCTGAAAGAAAATGAGTTGGATCAACTTGCCAAATTTATGGGACATGATATTTGTGTTCACTGTGAATAATATTGCCTAACCGAGAACACATTTCAGCTTGCAAAGATGAGCAAGCTGCTCATGGCAATCGAACGTGGAACTGAAGTCTACAAAGGCAAATTTCTTGATGAGATTGATTTGGGCATACAAAATGAGTAGAAAATGGATTTCATAATAGAATCCAATTTATACTTAAAAATGCTTTTTTTTTTTTGTTCTACTCACCACTTTAGTATGTGAAATAAGATAAGTTCACAGAATGTTGTTTTTATCAAAACAGGTGGTTTGTCTTCTGAAGTTAGAGCTGTACAGAAGTCTCAAGTCAGTGAAAGTGACACAGAAGTTTTCAATGAGAAGTCTTTGGAACCAACTCAAGACTCCTATAGTACGAAGCCATCAGAGTTGTTACCTTGAATATCAGCTTTCTTTCCCGTCTATAAATGACAGACAGTAACTAAAAATGTCCATCCTGGTTACTTCTTCTCTTTAAGGATCTCCGAACGAAAGAGGTCAAAGATGGCATCTGAATCATCTTAAGTTTCAGACAGTATAAACATTAATTGGGTCATGCGAGGAGCACTGTGGAATGAAATATTGCATTATCTGATAAGACGATGATTCGTGGTTAATAGTGAGGTGACGTGTTCTTGTGCTGCAGAAGAATCAGACATGCTGACTCAACAGGCCTCAGCTACAGGACCATCACACAAGCTCAAAAGGACAGAGAAAACAGGTACTGCTCAGTTCTCAGACTTGAGTAGTGTTAATTACACTAGATGTGGATTAACAACACATTACAAATTTGATTTATCAA